ATGATTGATCCCACCGTCTTCTTTTTCTTCAGGGTAACCAAAGGTGGAGGAGTGAGAGCTGACGGTTTCTGGAATCGCAGATGAATAAGGTATTAGAGAGGTTAAAGGCAGCAGGAACTATTTCCCAGTCCTGTCAGTGGGAGAATGTTTGGTTTAATTCTCCACTCAAGCAAACCTCATTGTGTAGATCTTGTAAAATATCTCCTAACAAGTCATCTTTGGACAGATCTACATCTTTCTGTAAGAGAAAAAAAAAATTACAAAACATGAGAAAAATGTAAGAACATCATCTAATGTCTGACAAACCATCTACAGCATACTTTACGAAAAGATTAAGTGTGCAGTGAGTTTAGAGAATATCTTGTCAAAGACTCTCATAAATACCGACCTCTGCAGGCCTCTTAACGTTGCTGTTCATGAAGAGACTCTTAATAGTGTTAGGCTTCGCTACCGAAGATTTCTTCAGAGTTTTCTTTGACTCTCCCCCTTTTGCGCCCCCTTTTCCTGGAAGCACAAACCAAATACTTAAGCACAAGATATCTGTATTTTTCAATTCTTCAAAAGGATTTTCAGCTTGTTACCTTTGCTTTCAACAACATCGTCGTCTAAATCGTCGTCGAAGATCTCTCGCCCATCTTCAACATATCCTGTGCCGTCTGAAAGAAGGAAGGTGTTACTTGGCATAAAGAACCCTCCATCAGCCTGCGCTCTGCAGTGGTTTCTCAAAACCAGATCTCACCATCGTCAATAATCCAGTCGTCCTCCTGCCTCTCTCGCACCATTTTCGAGTATTGCTGCTCGTCCACCTCTTCGTAAACGCTGGTGATCTCCTCCACCTGCAAAAGGCAAACACCAGCTAAACACAGACTGAAGAGAAGCACAGCAGAAAACCGTCTTACGTTCACTTCAATTGAACTTTATGAATTAATATCTAGAAAAACAAATGGGTTTTTCAAAGTTTCTTGAACGGTGAGCACTATGATGGAAAGTTGAGTGGAAGAAAAACAGCACAGCAAAAAAAAAAAAAAAAAAGTCTCCCCTTGCCACTGGTTTTATGAATTGCATAAAGAATCTTTACAAGCATGCAAAACAGAAACATATTGTCTTTATCACCTCATATTTGATCTTTTCCCCCTTTTTGGCCTTCTTGAGCTGCTCCAGCGCTGACTTCCTGCCCACCTTCTCCCGCTTCTCTCGTCTGGAGCGAGACTTGGCCAGACTGCAGGCGTCGCCCTTCTCATCTGAAGAGAGTCACACAATGTTTTTTTTAACACAATCCTCCATTTCTGCTACATTTACACAGAATTAGACATAAAATACTAAAACAATACACTTTTATGAATAAAAAAAGGTCATATTAGAGGTGAATTTCAACAACAAAAACTAAACAATTCACTTTTTTTGATCAAACTAAAAAAATTGTTTGACCACTCTCCAATGAAGGCCACGAGAGCCAATTAAACCATAAATAGTAATATGAATATTTACAAAATGCTCGTAAATAGCCTTATGACCCTTATATGTAGCAACAATTGCTACTTTAAGGTGACCTTTCTGATTGGCATTGTGTGGAAGCACAGCTGTATGTTTCACATCAGAGATATTTCTTATTCATTTGAATTTTTTGTAGAAGTTTTTATACTTTTTAATGACCCGCTAACCAGCCAGGTGAATTTGATTAGCAGCGAATGGATGGACACATTGCGGTAATTCTTTTGGAAGTAAAGCTGTAGTAAGGCTGAAACGAACAATGACGCTGAGTGAAATTCTTGCCTTCTGAAGTATCCCAATTGTTCCTTTTCACCTTTTTTATCAAGAACAAATACCAGATTCACGTGACAAACCTCATTTGAATCTATCTAATCCCGTCATAAAGACACAAGCAGTACCCTATGCCAAAGCCTGTTAGCAAGTGTTAAACTAAGCTAGCCGTCGTGTTAGCTAATAATTTCAATTTGAACGCCTAAACAAGCAGCTGTCCTGTAACGGAAAACCGGAGAAACAAACTCACCACCGTCCGGAACGTCCATGTCTTTATCTGGGTCTGCCACCGGAGCCATTACTTCTGTTATTTGGTCTTTATTCCGACAACTGAATGACAGCAGCAGCACAACAACACAGCAACCCGCGCCAAAGCGCCTTCCCGGGGAAAGTCATATGCAGGAAATGACATCACGCTGCTGTCAGCCAATTACCGGATATGCTGTTTATAATAAGCCCAGAAGGGGGCGACATTGGTCTATCTAAATTCAGCCATAAATCGTAAAGTGGTTTTACTGTGTTTTATATATATAGGAAGTTCACTAACCTGATGGATTACATTTAATTTGCATTTTATATCATTGTATTAAAACGTAGCTACGTCCAACATCCAAACATTTATAAAGCTATTATTTTTATTTTTTTTATTATTTGTTTATGAAATGGGAAGAGAAAATTTTCATCTCTTAATTCAGTCAGAAAGGCTAATCATAAAGCCACCCCTTCTCTATTTTGCCAAAGTGAGCAAGTTATTTTAATTTCAGAGGAAAAGAGTTTAATATGCTGTTTAAAGGTACTAATTGATTTAACAAGAGAAATCTTTTCAAGTAAAAATAATTAAATCTTCACCTTTTCTATCTCGCTATCTAGTCTATTCCATGTAATTTTATTCAGTATGAAATGTTTGTCTAATAAATAACCTTGTCCTTCCTTAATATACCATTTGTGACGACAATTTTAGGCTATTGTTCTCCAGTTTTTAGTGTCTGTGTCACTGTACCTCCATGATGTCCGTTGCCACAGAAACGAAGCCGGTCTGTAAAGGGCACAATAGATTACTGTCCCAGACTGGGGCCACAGAGGAACTACAGTACAAGCAATAATGAAAACACAAAGCACAGTTTGTCTCTTATTCAAGCGTCTCACTTGAGCTTTCTGCGTAAACACCGTAAAAGCTTATCTAAGAATTGCGTACAATAATATTTACTAGATGTATTCGTGTGGGAGTATTTAGAATAGTATTTAGAAAAGCTATATGCTCATCTTCCTTTTAGCCATAGTATTTTTAAAGAAGTGATAAGTTTACCTAATGTTCATGCAGTTTAACTTAGCAAAGCATTACTTCTCTCCAGGATCTTTGGGAAACATTTTTATGTAAAAGCACAAAAAAATGTTGTTTACACTGGAAAGGTGAGTAACAAGTAATCATTACTGTAGAGAAGTAGTATTAAATATCTGGCTCTCATAAAGACACTGTAATCAGGCACATTCTGTGAGTTGTTTGTTGTTAAAATAATAACACACAGGGTATATAAAAAAAACCCTGATATGTGTGTGAGTGTGTTTATCTATATATATATATATATATATATATATATATATATATATATATATATATATATATATATGTATTTGCTTTGATACTCATGGATATAACCATGTATATTTTACGAATATTTTATCACAGCACCACTTTTGAATTGAGTTACAAGAAAGAAAGAAAGAAAGAAAAAAACACTTTTCAACGATACCCTATTTAGATGAATCTGTGGCATCATATGAATTAATGGTTACAAGCAGTCGCATGTTATACATGAAGTTAAGTACAATAGGAGGGGGATTCATGCATGTCTGACAGCCGGATTATCTGCTGTATGTGGCGCGGTGTGGACGGTGGCCGACACTTATCAGAGGGGAGCAGCTGATCTGTGTCTGGGACGGGCTGGACAGGGCGGGACGTATTTGTTCTGCTGTGCTGTAGCAAAACGGACATATTAAAAAAAAAAAGAAGAAGAAGAAAAAGAGGACAGAGCTCACTTATTTCAGTCTACCACAGGAGCAAGATGGTGAAACAGCGCCGCGTCAGAGTGAACCCCGGCTGCGCGGCTGTTACGCCTCTTTGTTGCAGAAGAGGATCGTGGAAGGTAAGATAAGTTTAAAATATTGACTAGACGTATTTCTTTTTTTATTTACTTATCTTTTTAGGGATAGGGTTACAGTTTGACGCATTTTCCACGTCTAAATAAAATAGGAATAAACTGCTTTACCGTTGAAAAGAGAGGAAGAGCCTGGTTTTGGCGGGGAAGTCGGAGTTTAATATATTTTATAACACGCTGTAACGTAAGTAAGTTTACAGTTAGTTCTATATGTATTGAACATTTGACCTAAATATTTAGTATTCATGCTCTGCTTACTGTTTTGTTTGTAATCGTGAAACGGTTTCGTCCACCAATCATCACAGTTTATGTTGCTACGGCGGGCGATGATTGGTCCGAATTTGGGAGCTCTCTTTCCTCTCCGCCGTCACCATAGAAATGGTCCAGATGGTCTCCTTAGACCGACGCTCCACTCACATTATTTACCTAATCTCTCATATGAAAAGCGTAACACAATGTTGTGGAGTTATGACTGTTGCAGTCCCTTGTAATTATTGTAGCTCGGATTATTATTATTATTATTTTTATCATTCTCTTTAAATATCAAAGTTATACTTTGAGGCAGCTTGATATTAGAAATAGCCGTGAGTGAGACCTCTTCCATGCGTCTTTGTCTGCAGCAGCTTCGGGGTTACAGTGGGTGCGCCCTATTTGTCAACCGGAGAGGCAATTGATGCGCCGGGTAGGCGTGGTCGGCACATTCTGTACACATGATGCGCCTTACAGACCCACTGGGCAGAAACCGATTTCTACCATGTGAGTTATAGAAATGCTTGAGATTTTTGTCTTCTTCTTCTTCTTCTTCTTCTTCTTCTTATTATTATTATTATTATTATTATTATTATTATTATTATTATTATTATTGTTGTTGTACTTTTTTTAGAGTCTTTACTTATTGTGAAAGCTTAGATTATTAAATATTTAGAGCAACACGATGCATATCTTACTTAAATCTGTTGTGGGATTGTGTCTTCTTTAAAAAAAAAAAAATCTCCCCCCACCTTGATTCCACATCGCTTCTAGCCAGGTCTTTCCCCGGCTGACTGTGAAGGACTGCACCCCGTGGGAAGAAGGGCAAGAAGGAGGGAGAGGGAGACAGACAGAGGAGAGAGTGGGCGGGGAAAATAGAGGAGACAGTGGTGAGGAGAGCAGCATCTCCTCATTGATGCTGAGTCACAAAACAGAGAGAAATCAGCTGCATCCCATGAGGCTTTGGGAAAAATGGAGGAGCTAGAACACACCTGCCCTCATCCCCGGACGGTAGGGAGGATGTGCACGGCTGTTTGCTTGCCTATCTGTGAGATGAGAGTGTGTATACTAACTGTGTGTGTGTGTGTGTGTGTGTGTGTGTGTGTGTGTGTGTGTGTGTGTGTGTGTGTGTGTGTGAGGAAGGGAGACAGGAAGTAGGGGGGAAAACAAAAGGTTCCTCCTCTGTCCCCTGTTATGAAACAGATCCTGGATTGCATGTGCCTGAAGGAGATGCTCAGAGTGCTGAGTGGACGGTGTTGTTGTTGTTGAGGGGGCTGCCAAAGGAAGAGAAATGTCCTGCTGAGTGAGAACTGTCGCAGTGAAATCACAGAGCCTCCTGCGTTGGGATACTCTGCTTTATTCCTCCTTGACACAAATCATGCTGTCAGCCCTTTTGTCTCCACCGAGTCGTCATTTACCTATTTCTTCTTTGCCTCAGCCTGTTTTCTTTACGGCAGTCTCTCTCTTGGCTAGTCATGCTATGGCTACTGGCTTGTGTCCTTTTTTTTTTTTCCTCCCCTGCCGCTTTAATCCTTCTTAGGCCAGATGCTGTATCTGGTGCCAGATCGGGCTTTACAGTGAGCACGCTCCAGCCGCACGCCCTGATAGGCCCTTGTACTCTCCTGATCACAAAGTTTAACCTTGGCCATCTGCTCTTTGCTAACTCTCAACAATCTCACCATGCCCAAGGAATCACATGCCCAAGGAATCACAAGTGATGAGGCGTCTTCCTGAAGGGAAGACGCTCAGACAGCTGCTGCTGTCTGAGCTTCTAGTTTTTCCTGTTTAAATTACACACAGCAAAAATGTTGGAGGAAAAAGCTTCAAGTTAAATGTATCGTTCATTGGAGTAGCACAGTCCAAAAAATCCTACCCTTTGGACTTAATTGAGTACATTATGTGTTTCAAAAAGTCAAATAATTGTTTTCAACACCCATATTTTTGTGGCATCGCAATTATGTTTTTATTTTTCATTGGTCTACCACCATAAAAGGATTTTAGCTGGAATGGGTGATTTGAGCTTTTTGAGAATGAAATCTCCAGTTTGGTCAAGGATAAAACAGAAGATGAACTTCATTCCCTTCATTTGTTAAATAGGATGTGTCATACTGTGGGCCTGTTTATGTTTCAAAGAACAGTGTTAGAGCACATCGTGAGGTTTTTTTTTTTTTTGGACTATTGTGATATTTTCATATAAAATCTATGGGTTTTGACCAGAAAAGAGAAAATTCATTTTCAATTGATCTTCTTGCTGGATGAAGATCTTAAACATGCAGCCGAATCAACGCAGAAATCAACTTTCTTCTTTGTCCATCACACTTTCCAGACCTAATAGAAAACTTGTGGCGTGAAAGACGAGCCAGCACTTTGGAGAACCCAAAGAGCTTGGGCAAAGAAGAATCCTCCAAATTACTGAAATATGACAGTAATGTAAAAAAAAATCGCTGTTCTATTCCCTACAGGAGGTTGCAGAGAGTACTAACAGCAGAGATAGTTGCCAATAAGTTGCAGGGGTTCTGCATCTCCAAAAATGCTATCTAATTTCAAAAGCAGAGCTAAGACGCACAGAGCAAGAGTAAACTTGCACCTGTGTTAATGTAAAAGCAACGAATTCTATATTTTCATGTGGCGTCTTTATAGTTATTTGTTGCCTGTTTAATTACTGCACAACAGTTGAGTCCAGACTGCAGCCCACATCTTTGGCTTACTCCAGACATTTTTATCTGTCATCCACAAATTTAATACCAAGCAACTGTTTCTGCGTTTCTTACAAAATGCTTGTGTCCAGAACCACCTCGCAGTTTCTCTGCGACTGAAGGTCTACGAAATCCCCCAAGCCCCCTACAACTAATTACCTGTTTACCTGAAACCCACTATCGTTTCAGACTCTATTTTTTCACCGCTGCTCCTGGAGGAGCCACTGACGTCAGGGGCCTGACTGAACCCGTTTCCATGTTCTCTTCCTCCTCTCACACTCCCACAGCTTTCTGCTCTGCTCTGTCTCTCTTTCACGGGTGTGAATGAGATTTGGTGAATACTCCCCTGCAGTCAACAGATGGCACACGAACACAGTTTATTTTTTACATTTTAATTTTTTTTCAGGAGGGCTCACATTGCAGCGTTTTGACCTTGATAACAGTCTTGGCACTTACAAATTAGTATATCCCGTTATCTGGTTTGTCCGTCTGTTATCTCTGGTTTTAATTTCCTGTCAGAGTGGGAGAGAGTTCACTTCTCCCTTCCAGCGCCACGCTAACCAAAGATTTTTGTCCTCTCTGTCATGTTCAGTGCATACAGTTGATTGCGGCGAGAGGTGAGTGTCGGTGATCAATAGCACTGAGTGCAGCTCTTTCTGTCTCCGCTGTCTCAGAGTGCAGAGTGAGCATCAGATGTAGTCAATACCTTAATGGTGGTTTTCTGTAAGTGGCGAGGGAAGGGGCAAATGGCTGTTCTCCTGGGTCTTCCTTTAACCCAGTCCCTTTCTGACTCAGACTCTCACCGAGCCTGCCATCTTCGCCACGGAGACCAGCTGCGACTGTCGAGCGCCTCACGAGAAGCTCAGCATCACGCAGGCCCGCAGAGGCACCCCAGGTACACGTTCACCTTCACGCTGCTTTTATCCTCATTCTTCGCTTCGTCTTTGTTTGACTTCCTCCCCCATTTTGAAAGTCATGTTTTATAAGCTGTGTCTGAAGTCCTTGCATTTGCAAAACTATTCAGATCTCTAACTTTTTCATATTCTCACATTACAACCACAGACTTGAATGGCTTATGTGGGGTTAAGCACACCCCACATATGAAGGCTCTAGTTTTCAATGCGTCTGTCGTGGGTTCGCTTCCCAGTCTTCCCCTTCTCTCATTACTTTTTTTTGTCAATTTACTACCAAATAAAAGCCACTAGAGCAATTAAAACCTTTTCCCCCAGAAACTATTGGCCACCAATAATCCCCAAATTCATTTTAAAATACATTAGATGCTACAAAAACACCAGCACCAGTTGCAGTATGTAATCTACTTTTATTGCAAAACATCAAACAACACCGACAGCAATATGCAACAAAGGTCATACATTCATGGTACTTTGCACTGAAGGTGAAGTGTGCTTTGAAAGTTCATTGGAAGCGGCCATGGATGGTCTTGTGATCACTGATGGTGAAGTGTCTTTGGTGCTGCTCTTGTTTCATCAACATCATGGAGGAAGACTTCCAGCCTGGAAGGAAAAACAAGAAATATAGCAGAAACATTAGGATAATAAATAAATATTTTAAAAAGTAGTGTGACCAAAACTAATCAGACTCACCTGTGTGTATCTCCGTCATAT